GCAACAAAACACTCTGATACTCAATGAGAACTGTCAAAGTGGAATGGATGGCACTCACAGTTATGTTCAAGTTTTTAATGTCATGAAAAATTTGTGATTTTTTGTGAATTTGTAATTATTTTTTTTTTTATTGTTTAGGTGAAGTAGTAGAACACAATGCTATGGTAGATGTGTAATACCATAGTATATCGTAATTCAAAGAAGCAAATTTTATCAAACTTTTTCCTCCCCCATTGCAAACGCAAAGCTTGAGTATAACTGCAATAAGCATTTTTAACTTATAAGCCAACCCCGTACGAAGGACGGGTACTCTGCTAGTTTAATATACATAGTAAAATACTAGGATGTTCAAATTATTTTAAAAAAGCAATCTTTTTAATCTTCGATTTGTTTTAGAGCAATATAATTTGTTTTAACTAACAGCTGGTTAAAATGCCCTATAGAACTATGAGGTTATTTACTCAGATTTTGTCATTGATTATGGGAAATAAGTAAGATTAGTAGACCACCGAGATAAGTAACACCATCGATGTGTACAAGTCGAGGCTCTGTACACGAGTTAAATAAAAAAAGAAATGCAAATTATTTTACCGCTCAACTTTTTTGGAAAGGGTAGGAAAATCACAAGTTTTACATGTTTTAATTCATCTTGGCAGCTTTTTGTTTACAAACAATGTTTTTGAATGCCTGAACTTTGCTTGGATTAGGCCCGGAAATATTGATGTCATAAAGATGGAGATCAAGAATCCTCAGGAATACGATTTTGAATTACCACCACAACCTCAGACGGGTATTATCCAAAGATATACAGATGAATGACATAGATTGAACACAACGTCATCATTGACCTAGGATACTGCAATTAGACTAACCATCCTTTTATGAAATCTAAAAAAGTTGTTTGGTGTGTGTTTAGTTGTGGTTACGTTTGGAGGCGCTGAATATTTTATAGTTTAAATAAATGAATATGGGGAATTACGATGTACATTGATTCAATGAGGGTGGTTCAATTATCAAGGATATTGGAACTGATAACGGAATGGATAATAAACATAGACAATTAATTACGTCACTAGCTTTACCAGTGTTTTTACTTTTTAAATTCCTTCAACATGTGCCCAGTTCTTTTGTTCAAATGAATATTATTTTTGACTCAGCTGTTTTGTTGTTGTGTTTACTTTTCTTTGTTTACACTTATTTATTTAGCAATTGATGCAGTGAAATTGACATAAAGGATGTGTGTGGACGATTCGTTTAGTGATATCAGGACACCAACGTTATAATTATGTGTACTGTGAATTGTATTGGATGTTTTCGTTTTATTTTAGGGAGTTTCTATTCAGACCTACTGGAAATTTGTGTATAGTATAAGTAATTGTATTGTGGTGATATTGATTATGGAAGAGGTAGGTATGTGATGGAAGGTGATATCATTGACTAGGCCTATACACTTCTCAATTGATAATTAATACTCTTTCTACTGTAGGCTGCAATAAAATTTGTCTTTATACGTGTAAACTAGCTGTTCTGAATTATAGGCCTACACCGTTTTAACTGAATACTCCCGTACGTAGGACGGGCTAACACCTCGTATAATATTAATTCTATATCAGTAATTGGCATAATGATTGGTGCAAGAGGGACTATTACAACATTTTTTGACGAATTAAAAAAAAAAATATTATCTTCCATCAAAATTAAAAAATTAAATAGTCATAAAAGTGCTAAAAGGATCATGTACAGTTGGATTTTTTTTTAGCTAGAAGCGTTAAGGTGTGGTTGAATATCTTTGAAGATGAACCTATTTGGCTGTAGTGCGATCATCTATTCATATGTGTCAAATTCTGAGGTTAAATCAAAACAAACAAACTGGCATGTTGTCAATGAGGCATTTAAGGGCCGTGTTGTATTACTTTAAGAAAGGAAATAATGCCCATTTAAGAATAAATGAATTAATTTAGTACATTTCATTGTCTAATTTATTATAAAACATTCAGCATTTAGGCTACTACATGTTATAAACCAAACTCGAATCTTGCTATCTTAACCTATAAATATGAAACTGCCTAGTAGAAAAATAAAAGATCTTTTTGAAAATATATAGTTATATGCTGTTGAATTCTAAAATGTCTGGGTAATTTTTGTCTAAATGTAAAACTTTGAAATCTTTTTTACGAAAACATAATTTTTATGACATTTTCAAAGCCACATAAAATATTAACGACCAATCTTATAAAGATTCTGAGATATACAAATTGTAGGGAATTTATTGTAGTTTTAGAATATTTAAAAATGTTTTACATAATCTTAAATAAACGGTATCAGCATTCTGACACATACTTTCTCCCATAAGTTTGTCAACAACCTTTATCATGTGTAAGCGGTGAGAGTAAATATACGGAAATGGGATTTGTACAATTTTGTTCAGAATTTAAAGGACAATAACATACAAAATTTTTATCAAAATTGTTCGAGCCAATTTTGGGAAATCCGATTTTTCCGTTATTTTATGGGGTTTTTATGGGGAAATAACATAATTTACAATAACTTTTGAACCGTAATTTTTACATAAAAGGGATTTGTACCATTTTGTTCAGGATATAAAGGACCATAACATACAAAAATTTTATCATAATCGTTCAAGCCATTTTTGAAAAAATCCTATTTTTCCGTTATTTTATGGGGTTTTATGGGAAAATCCCCATCTAAAATCAAAATTTCTAAAAAATGAAAAAAAAACTAACAAAATTGTAAGGACCATAACCTACTATGTTAAATCAAAACTGGATTTTTGTCTCAAATCCTATTTTTCGTTATTTTATGGGGTTTTTATGGGGAAATAACATAATTTACCATAACTTTTGAACCGTAATTTTTACAGAAATGGGATTTGTACCATTTTGTTCAGAATTTAAAGGGCTACAACATACTAAATTTTAATCAAAATCGTTCAGGCCATTTTTGAGAAAATCCGATTTTTCCGGTTTTTTATGGGTTTTTATGGGAAAATCCCCATTAAAAATCAAAATTTCAAAAAAATGAAAAAAACGCCTGGAGATACCATGGATTAGAACCTACATACCAAATTTCATCGAAATCGGACCACAGGTGTAGTCTCTAGCTCTGTACACATCCAGACACACAGACACACACACACACACACACACACACACACAGACATCACTTCAAAAACCACTTTTTTGGGTCCAGGGGGGCCCAAAACGAATATATCCACTCAAAACTCAAACTCAAAAATTTTGACGAAAACAATACTTTCTCCATATACTATGGTATAGGGGGAGAAAGTAAAAAAGGTGCGCAAGCAAATATATGATACTGCGTACCAATTTTTACAACCACAATCAGTGATTAGTTTTTCAAGTATTTCACAACTTTGTAAAATATTATTATAAATTGAATTCAGTATTGTACACATGAACGAGTGGGTAGACGAAAATACACATTTCACTAAACAAAACACTACAAATAACTATTTCACAATATTTTATAATTTACTAAATAATACCAACAACAAAATATGGTTTTTGAACGTTTGTCATTTTATTTACAAAGTAGTAAGGCCATATTTCAATACTTAAAGTCACTCTCACCAATCCAGTGAATACATTAAAATGATTTGAATCTTGATAGGTACCTACTCTCGTTTTTCAGGAGAAGGCCGTGTAAAATGCCTTTTTGGACCGTGACAGACAGAAATTGAGACTTGTTTCGGCTTCTTTAATGTATAAAACGTAAAAATTACCAAAAAATATATAATTCTGAGCAATGTACAGACAAAACTCTAATTTTATTTATAAAGATAAACACAGACTTTTGAGTCGTTTCAACATTAAGGATAGGGTATAGATTCATCTAAATGCAAGCGGTGGTCGACACTGGGCCGGTTAAGAGAGGATTTACTGTAGCCAATTTAGAACTTGTTTTAATACAAATTCATATATTGGGAATTCCCTTAGTTTTCTATTGTATGGCTTTTGTGGCGGGAGATGGACTAAGAAGCCTATTTTTGGGGTAGGCTAGGCTCCTAACCACAGGATCACATCAATGATTGGTAGACTATTAAACACGTTTCTCCAGGACAGAACTCTTATGCTGTCACTCCCGTCTAATTTCATCCTTTGTTCATATTAACACGTTTGCTGCAGCTTTGTGATGGCTGGCCACTGCTGGGAGCGCGGACAATTAATGCCCTGTGTGGATGAGTGCGCAAAAGTTTTTAAATTTAGTTTTATCCAATAGGAGACATATTATAGCACATACTGTGTCCCAATTATTTTGAACGCAGTTTTACAAGAACCCAATAGATAGCAGCACTAGTCAAAACTGCTAGCCAGCCCTCAGTACTGCCAAATGGAGGGAAATAACAGGAGCGAAATACTCAAATACACAAAACCGTGAAAACTGGTTCAAGCACAATTTTGAGGTTAGGTTCCTTTCATAATGCTACAGTATATTCATTATAGTTATTCTATTCCATATCATTAAATTCAACCCTTAGCTCCAAAATAAAATAAATTTGTAACAGTCCCTACCACCAATAAAATAGTCGGATCTGAAAACTTACTTTACCAGATTGAAGTATGAAACTGGCACAATAAGCGGCAAAGCCGTTTCAAGGCAGTGGCTAACCTCACAATGAAACAATAGTTTGTAAACGGAGTATACTTGTCATGCGCCACTGGAAAGCGCTAGCGGTGACAAGATTACTCGCCATGCACAGTGAACATGTTAAGCTTAAAATATAGTGATGTTTTGCTGACATTCATTCAAGGTATACATACAGTATCTAAATGTGATTTTCTAGTTACAAAATATAATCTTAAAAGATTCCTTGGTGCTGGGGGCTTAGGTATCCTAAGGGTGAAAACGTTAATACAATACTCAAGAGGCATTTTGAATTACCGGTATTACTCAGGTATAGGTTTGAGGTACACAATACTTTAAAAAGATAGAGGTAATTGAAGCATATAAATACTTACAGATGAGTTTGGACAATCCACTTGTTGTACAGGCCTACTAACTTTGGTATATAACTTTGGTGGTGGGGTTTGTATAACAACATCATTATTATTACGAGGTATATTTGGGATTGCATTTCCTTTCATTATTTTTCTGGATGCCTCTTCGAATGAGTCATCAGTAAAATGTTTTTCACACACTGCTCTATTCGACAATTCACTCTTTGTTAAATTAGGAAGGAATTGTTCATCACAATAGTGAGTCCACTTGTAGAGTAGATCATTGTTATGGATTGGAAAATTATAAAATTGAACAGAATCGATGGATTTAATACTTTTGCACCCCAGGTAAGAACACACAATTTGTCCTTTGGATAATGCTTTGGAGACATGGTCTCTGCTGGTTTCCTGAAAAAAAAAACTTTAAAATCATTGCTCAAATAATAATAAATGAACAGTATCAACAACCTGACACATACTGTACTTTCTCACATTAGCTTGCCAAAAAACTTTCATGGATAAGCGTCAGGACAGTAGCGTATCCAGGGAAAGGGTCCCAAGAATTTGTATTTGAGGGGGCCCCGATATATTATTTTATATTATTAAGGATGATTTGATTCTTGATATCAATTGTCCATTCTCGATACCACCGATACTTGGACATTGGTATCGGTATCGAGAATCGATCGTCGACCAATACCAGACACTTTTTGCGAAGATTGCACGATCGAAAAATTACCGCTTTTGCCGCAATCGCTCAAGACGACAATGATATTTCCATGACCACAGGAGATGATGATGATGTCTCCACGGCCAAGGGAGATAGTCAGAATTTCGCCGTGATTGAAGAAGATGACGATAATGTCTACAAGACAGCGGGAGATGATCAGAATTCAGCATCGATCACAGGAGACTATGATGATGTTTCCGTTACGACAGGGGATGCTCATTATTTTTCCGTGACCGCAGGAGATAATGCTAATTGTTGCAAATGGACTGTGTCTAGATGATTTTTATATTAATTAATTCATCAATGTTTTTATTTACATTTGCAATTTCTTTTCTGTTTTCTTTTCTTTTTTTCTTTTTTGTTTTCTTTTTTTGTGTTTTCTTTTTTGTTTGTTTCTAATAGTTGGTCTTGTGAATAAAAATTGAAAGAATGTGTTCAACCTCTATGATTATTTAATTATTTTTTAACCATATGTTTTTTATTTACTTTCTTTAATAATATTGTCTTGTATTAATGTCTTGATTAAAAACAGTTTAGTTTCTTTTGATCTTTTAATTTTAATCTAAATAAGAAATAGAACATGGCGCAGTCGAATGAAGAACCCGTATCCCTGAACATTAAGCCTCCTGAAGCCTTTTCCTTCAATCCTCACGACTGGAAGACATGGAAGACTCGCTTTGAGAGGTATTATTCCCTTAGCAATTTAGCTCTACATTCTGGTAAGCATCAGATTGACATGCTTATATACTGTATGGGGGAAAAGGGAGAGGATATACTTAACTCATTCAGGTTAAATGACAATGACAAATCTAATTACAAAGTTGTTCTAAAGAAGTTTGACGATCATTTCCTTCCAAAAAAGAACCTAATTTTTGAACGGGCTAGGTTTCTAAAACTTAAACAGGGTTCCATGCCGATTGAGAACTTCATCACAGACCTTCACAATCATGCAAAAAACTGTGATTGGGGTCAGATTGAAGAGGAGATGATTCTGATGGTTTTGATTATTGGTATGCAGGACGAATCACTAAGTGATCGTCTTCAACTTGAACCCGAATTAAAACTTAACACAGCTATTAACACTATCCGTAGATCTGAAGAACTAACAAGACAGAAACAAACACTAAACTTGGCTGACATAGCATTAATAAACCAAAACACTCAACATTTAAGTAAATCAAACATTTCTCCTGATAAATCAAACAATAATCGATACTTTAAGCCAATTTATGACAATAAAAGCCTGTCCAATGTCGAAAAGAGATGTTTTTGGTGTGGCTCGACAGTTTTACACAAAAGATTCAACTGTCCAGCTAAACAATACAAATGTGGGTTTTGTAAAAAAGTCGGTCATTTCCCAAATGTTTGCAAATCAAACAAAGTCAGTCAAATTGAATATGATGATTCTCCCCTTGAAAACCCCACCGAAAATGTTTGCTCTCAGTACATAGACCCTCAAATTGGCTCTGTTGACAAAACCGTACGTGATGATCCTTGGTCTGTAGTGTTAAATATGAACGACAGTGATGATGTTCTTTTCAAAATTGATACAGGAGCAGACGTAACGATTTTGCCTTCCGACATTAAATTGAACAAGAAAATCAAACTGAATCCCACATCCAAAACATTTAGCGGCGCAAATGGCCAAGCTTTGTCAATTTTGGGAACTGCTACAGTCAAACTATCCCATAATCACAAAACATGTTATGAGACTATATATGTTTCAAAGGGCACTTCCCAACCCCTTCTAGGTAAACCTGCAATAAAAAAATTGCAGTTACTTGCTCGAATCAATGAAATACAGCCATCCTGTAATGACTGGTATAACAGACACCCTAAATTGTTTGAAGGCTTAGGTTCTATTGATGTTAAATACAAAGTAGAACTGAAAAATAACGCCAATCCATTTGCAATCAACACACCTCGTCGGATTCCTCTTCCTCTTTGGGAATCTACTAAAGAAGAGCTTGAAAGAATGGTGTCAATGGGGGTGATTGCTGAGGTACACCATGCCACAGACTGGTGCTCTCCAATGGTTGTTGTACCAAAGAAGGACTCTAACAAAGTTCGCATCTGTGTGGATCTTACTAAATTAAACAGATGCGTCAAACGAAGATACTATCCTATTCAACCCATCGACATAACACTTGCCCAAATCTCAGAAGCAAAATGCTACTCTAAATTGGATGCTAATAATGGATTCTGGCAGATCACATTGGACGAAGAATCCCAAGATTTGACAACGTTCCTGACACCGTTTGGACGCTTTAAATTTCTGAAACTACCCTTTGGAATAACATCTGCACCAGAAGTATTCCAGGAATGCGTGAATCGAACCCTTAAAGGTCAAATGAATGCACTTGCGCACATGGACGATATAATTGTTTGGGGGAAAACTCAACAAGAACATGACTATTTCTTAGAAGAAGTACTTACCAAACTTGAACGTGCAGGCTTCACCTTAAACAGAGACAAATGTTTGTTCTCTCAAACCTCCTTAACCTACTTAGGTCACCATCTATCCGAATCAGGAATCAAAGTCGATGAGACGAAAGTCGAAGCTATAAGAAAAATGGCACCTCCAACAGATATTTTGGGTGTACAAAGGTTACTTGGCATGGTTAACTTTATTGGCAAATACATACCTAACAAAAGTAGATTACTAAAACCCATTACCGACCTTCTAAGTAGAAAAAACGAATGGTGTTGGGGGTTTGAACAACAGAAAGCATTCGATGAACTTAAAGAATTATTGGCATCTCCACCTCAACTAGCATTCTATGACAAGGATAAACCAACTATGATTTCTGATGACTCATCAACACAAGGCTTGGGTGGAGTACTTTTACAACAACAAACAGATGGAAATTGGAAACCTATTTCTTATAATTCACGTACTCTGAGCGAAACTGAACGAAACTACTCTAACATTGAACGAGAAGCTCTATCTCTAACATGGAGCTGTGACAAGTTTAAAGACTATATTGTGGGCAAGCACGTCACGTTGGAAACAGATCACAAACCTTTAGTAAGTATTTTGACTACTAAAGAGGTCAATGATATGACACCCCGTCTTCAAAGGCTCAGACTTCGAATGATGAGATATTCCTACAATGTTACATATACTCCTGGCAAACATTTAGCAACTGCTGATTGTCTCTCAAGAAGCCCTGTAGCAACTAATGAGAGTTATGATTTGGATGAGGAAGTTGAACTGGCCATCCACACAGTAACAAGAAACATTGCCTATGTAACTGACATGGTTCTTGATAGAATTGCATCGGCACAGCGGGCTAGCTCAGAACTCAGGGTAATTAAATCTTACTGCTCAACTGAATGGCCTGATAAAACTAAGATTCCCGATAATCTTAAGCCATACTTCACAGTTCGGGATGAAATCTCTTTTTGTGACGGACTATTGCTTAGAGGAGAACGTCTCATAATCCCGACAACTCTTAGACAAGAAATGTTGACAAGAATACATACAGGCCACCTAGGCATAACGAAATGTCGACTTAGAGCCAACAATAGTATGTGGTGGCCAGGAATGTCACTTGACATTGAGAAATTTGTTAATGATTGTCCTAAATGTACTGAACATAGAACACAACATCATGAACCCCTTTTGCCCAGTGAGCTTCCATCTCGTCCTTGGGAAAAGGCAGCGATTGATCTCTTTAAACTTGAAGGAACATGGTTCGTAGTAATCACTGACTGTTTTTCACGTTATTTTGAAATAGCTACATTAAAAAACCTGTCAACTGCTGAAATAATCGAAAAATGTAAATCTGTATTTTGCCGTCACGGTATACCAATTGAGCTACGATCTGATTGTGGTACACAGTTTGCTACCAGATACACTGGTCTTGAAAACTCTGAATTCAAAAAGTTTGCTCAAAGCTATAACTTTAAACTTGTGACGAGCAGTCCAAGCTACCACCAAAGTAACGGTGCAGCTGAAGCTGCAGTCAAAATAGCGAAGAGTGTGCTAAAGAAAAACAAAGACGACCCATATTTGGCCCTCCTAACCTACCGCAATACACCTCTATCCACAAGTGGATACAGTCCTGCTCAGCTAATATACAACAGATCACTGCGAGATAATCTGCCTGTTTTACCTAAAAAACTTGAAATCAAACCCGATCTCTCCCAACTACAGGAAAAAGAAGATACTTACAGAGCATCTTACAAGAGAAACTACGATAGGCGCTACGCTACAAAAGAACTTCCATCGCTGCCTGTAGGTAAAAAAGTATGGATCCAAGACCTAAAAAGAGAGGGGATTATTATCAGCTTAGGACAAGAGCCAAGGTCATACTGGGTTAAGACAGGAAACACTACGTTGAGAAGGAATCGACACCACCTTTTGCCTTACAAAGGTAATACAACCAAACCGAACAATCCTATTCCTTTATCCATTAAAGATACAATGCCAGATACTCTGCCATTTACTACTGTTACTCAAACCAACTCGTCCCTATCAAATACTACTGAAAAAGCAACTACTACTCCATCTAGAACACCCCAAGATTACAGTAAATCTTTTTCACGATCAACAATTCCCAATCAAGAAGCTGCAATTAAAAAATCATCAAGAGGCAGAATTATAAGACCAACCAAACGATTTCCAGAATAAACTTTGAGAAAAAAAAAAAAAACTCAAAGGGAAAGATGTTCA